CGGCTGAGCCTAAGGGGTCCCACTCGGGACCCCCCCGGGCATGGACCTTTTTGGGGGGGACCTGACCCAGGGCCGTTTGGACCAGGGCGCTATTTGACTGCTTTGAGGTTTGCAACACTTTTTTCTCTCCCTTCTGCGTGACCTAAATCGGGGGCTCAGGCGAGAGGCGTTCAGAGCCTGCTCTGTTACATTATCACTTACTATGACTTATAGTAGCGCACACGTCAGAACAGGAAAATTACTAGTTTTCCCCTCCAGTTTCCATCTGCCTGTGAGGGTATCTGAAAGCCCTGAGCTGTTAGTTTAGCCTGGATTTTCGGTGTTCATTTTCTCCCGTTCCTGGAGGTAGCACTGTTAGTCCTAAATCGGAGGAGCAACTGCAGTGCTCCTGTTTAACCAGCTCCTGCCACAGGTCTGAAACGCTGCCCGAGTCCTGAAACCTCTCAATCCCGCACGAGCGCTGCGGCCCAGGGATGCTCTCGGCTTATGCCTCTGTGCCTCTGGTTGTCCTCTCCACCCAGGCAATCCACCAAGGACAGCTGACCTAGCGTTGCTGAGCGAAATGTAGGCACCGTGATGCATTTATGGCCGAGGGGAAGGAAAACTCCAAAGAGTTCTGCTGCTGAGCAGAAAGCAACTTCCACACCTTTTCTGTGCATTTTTAGGGATGTCCTGCTTCCAGCAGTCTTTAGGTCTCCTCTGCAATGGTTAGAGCCCAAATTATTTGCTTCTGCTTGAAGCACTGCTTGGGATTGCCTTGCCTGAGTGCAACTTCCTCTAGGAAGATGCTGGGGAACAGGTCCGTCTCCTCCCCCCGAGGTCTGCCATGGAGACCACCTCTGCACTGAGCTGGCGAGGGCAGAGGGGCTCTGTCATTGCATGGTCCACTCGCAGGCAAAGCCCCAAAAGGAAGGGTCATGGGTGTAAAACAGCTGTTTGGGAGTTTCTGAACTGCCCACAGTTTCCATATATCAGTTTTTGAGAGCAGTTTCCAGGGCACAGCGCTCAAGCAGGGGTTTCTGAGGCCAAGTTGCCTTAGACCCAAGGCGACTCCACCCTGACGGGCCTCTGCTCTCCTCAAGGTGCCCTGGCCCTAGAGAAGCTCCCAGCCTTCTGCCCAGGGACCACGGGCTTGCGTTCGTCAAGGCAAGCAGGCACTTTGAGCCAGGGAAATAGCTGAATCGCGCTTTCCATTCGTTCTGGGTGTGCTGGCTTGCGTATTAGCTTTGAAGGCCAGGCTGCCCGGGGAGCACCCTGCACCCCCACCCGGGCCATGGGCTGCCTGGGAGCACTGCATGGTCTCCAGAGGTCCCACGCAACCAGCACGCAGGTCACCATCCTGTGGCGTTTCCCATTGCACGCCAGCCCAGATGAAGTTCACAAAGGTTTTCTGCCTCAGACTGCGCTGCTCATTTGAGATTAAATGTCTTCCAATAAAAAGCTGTGGTCAGTTTAACTCCAAACTGCATACTTTCCTTTATCTGTGGCCTGGAACTCAGCAAACTATGCAAAGTCCCATTTAAATTAATGGGATGCTTCAGTACTGATTTTAATGGGATTTTGTATAATAAAAATAACACTTAGAAATGCCCTAACGTTTTGTTGCAAACTTGCAACAAAGGTCTCTGGAACTGGGATAATAAAAATACAGGCTTGATTCGAAACCTATGAGGGTTTTGTCATTAATTTCAATGGCACAGTTTCAGGCCTTATTATTTTAGTGTACCATTATATAAGTAAAAATTACTTTACCAATTAAACAAAAGTTTGTGACAACTTTTCTGACCTAGTCTGGCAGCCAGTATGTGAAAATCTAGTATGATATTATTAAAATGGCCAAGATATTCAGACTCATAAACCAGCCTTTATACAAGGGCTGAAAACAAATAAAAATAAGAAACTGCAAATTGTTTTTGCTAAATAAGGGTTTGTCCATCAAACAATATTAAGCTGTTACTTCTAACAAATGCTTCAGGTCTCTCTTTTAATCTAACCGAGAGAATGATTTTCTGCTCACCTTCGTAGAAAACAGTAAAAAACTCCTTCAAAGTAAAATGCGTTTTAATTAACAGAGCTGCAAAATAAAATCTAGAGCTATGCAGCAAGCCTCCTCTGCAGCTCACCACGGTGCGACCCACGCGGGCAGGCTGCACTTATTAACAAGCTACAGGCTATGCTCTGCTCCAAACTGATTAAGCAGTAGAGCTGCAGGCATATTTTCTACCAAATATGTTTCAATGGCAGCCAGCTTTTTCTTTGTGGCATTTTTTTTCTTTTTAACAGGAAAAAATAATTTGTTTATATCGAAACTCCAATTTCTCTAATGAAAAAAAATTATAAGATGAGAACTTTATTTAACAAAACCTTCCCCATAAATAAAAATTCCCATAGGAAATAGAAAAGAAAAAAAAGAAAAAACCAAAAGAACACATGCCTTTGATTTTTTTTTTCCCTTCTTCACCCAAGAAGTTCCTTGCAAAAACCCAGGTAGCAACGTTCAGCCTCTGCTGGAGAGAAGCAGATTTTCTCCCAGCTCTTCCCAGGCGACGGTGGAGCTGAGCGCCGGCTCGTGCCCACGGGCAAGTCCCGCTGATGGAAATGAGCCCCGAACCAGCTCCTCCGGATAGCTCTGCTGAGGCAGACAGATAGCTGGCGGA